TTCCTGCTGCTCTAGATAAGATTATGGTAGCCACCTTCCTACACACAACGTTTCTCAACTTGGAGCAAGTCTGTCCCCCAAGGAATATCTGGCAATATCTGGAAACATTTTCGGTTGTCATAACTCTAGTTGTAGGGCAACTGGTATCAGTGGATAGAGGCTAAATAGTCTACAATGCACAGAACAGCCCCCCACAACAAAGAATGCTTTCTTCAAAACGTCAGTAGGAAGGCTGAGAAACCATGAAGGTTGAGAAACCATAGTAGGAAGGTTGAGAAACCATGATGTCAACAGTCATTTTTAGCAACAGATTATCTTCCTACTTATGGGATTCCTGTAGGCCAAGGCAATACTAACCATTCTGAGTTCAGACTAGGTCAGAACTGAGGTACAATTCTGCTAAGACTTAGTAACTGAAGCTCTTCTGAATAGAGGCTCTCTCTTGAACAAAAATAATTTTTCCCTCACATGAGGTGCGTATACAATAGACCAGTAGACAAAGTGCTTCTCTCGGTGCCCACCTACGCAACAACAGCAGGTGTTGCCACTATAGAGTGCAGAGGGGTGGAAATGACCACACTTCAAATTTAAAATAAACCCAAATCCACAAATAAGGCTTCCGGAACTGGGCCAGCCCGAACTAATCCCACACCCAGGGGTCCAGAAAATACTCGAGGCGGCCGGGCGGTGGCCAAGGCCCAGAACTACAGGCGGGAGGCCTGAGGCCCACGTCTACCTCCACCAGCCAGGCGCTCCCGGTACCTGTCTCACCCGACTGTACTGAAGCGAAGGCACGGAGGAATGCGGTTCCTGTGACAGCCCAGCCAAGACTTCTCAAACCCCACGCTCACCTGCCTGAAAGCCTCTTTCCAAGAAGGCGAGCCCACCGGTTTGTACAGCGACTGGTGCCGAGATCCTGAAGGATCCGCCATCTCTCCGTAGGAGTCGCCACCAGAAAGCCCCGCCCCCTGGGGTGTCGCGCAGAACCCTGGGAGTTTTAGTTTGGGGGTGCAGATCGCACTACATGCCAGGGAATCCTGGGAAGTGTTATCTTACTGGCCACCCCAATACAGAGAAAGATTTGAGTAACCCAAGAATGGGTGACTGAAATAATGACATTTGTGATGTTAACCCACCCTGATTGAGAGAGGTAAGTCTTGAGGGAAGGTTTTGAATTCCTAGGTTTACCCAAGGTGTAGGTGTCCAATAAGCTATCGGATACACAGGTGTCAGGTTTTTCGCCAGGTTCTAGACTTCACGCGGTACCAAAACTTTCTCTAAGCAGGCAATGGTCTGTTGACCTCGTCTCGCCCCTTTTGGCTTCCGAATAAATGTTTGGTGATTGGTTTTTTCACTGGCGACGATGCCACTGCCTGGGTGGTGGCCTCACCTTCGCCCCGCCCCTAGCTCTAGCTCTTGCTTCCGGGCTTCCTGCTTGATGATTGGCAGAAGCGGTGGAAGGCTGGCCGCGGATTGGCTGAGCTCAGCGGCGGGCTGAGCAAGTGCAGTGAAGAGAGCAGTTGGGACAAGATGGCGGCCGCCGAGGGACTGTCGGCCGACGGTGAGCTCTGGCAGACCTGGCTTCCTAACCACGTTGTGTTTTTGCGACTCCGGGAGGGACTGAAAAACCAGAGCCCAGCCAAGGGCGAGAAACCAGCTTCTTCATCACTGCCGCTGCTGCCGCAGTTGCTGACGAGAAACCTAGTCTTAGGCCTCGGCGGAGAACTCTTCTTGTGGGACGAACAAGGCAGTTCTTTCTCAGTTGTTCGCCTTCGGGGCCTCAGCGGCACGGGTGAGGAGCCCTTCCTTTCCCAGTACAAGGTACGGCCAAGCTAATCTTGTAAACGCCCCTCGGCTGGGATCTGAGCTAGTATTTTTTGTTGTTCCCTCCCCATTCTGGCTGTTTTTCGTCTTCTGGTAGGTGTGGTGCCCAAGTGTAAGCAGACATCCTTTGAGGGACGTCCAACTCCGAGTGGAAAAGTCTTGCTTATTTTTTATTTTCATTCTGCTCTCGCTTGGCCCTATAACCTTTTGTAGCCTCTTTGCGTATTTCATTCCTTCAGCAAATGTTTATTGACCTGGACACTGTGCCAGACACAGTTATAGGAACTCATGCTCTCAAGGTGCTTGAGGTTCTTGGGGCCAGAGGAAGAGAAGGACCACCGAATGAATAATCAGCAACAGATCAGTGATGCAAGTGCTCTGGAGAAAAACAAGGCAGGAGGAGATAGAGAGTATGGGTGCAGTCGCTGTTTTTAGTAGGTTGTCCTAAGAAACCTCATTCATGACGTGACATTTATAAAACAATAAAGATAATCCTAACTTAGGTTTGTTATGAGCTTCAAGTCAGGTAGTAGATTTGAAAGCACCAAGTTTCGATCCTGAAGTGGAGGAGGAATCCCCTGTTAATTCTTTTCCTTTTTAGAAAAGTAAGCCATCCCCAAAGTTGGAAGAGATTTTTGTTTTTGTTTTTTCTTGATAAGCCAACAACATGTGAAAATGGGTAAGATCAGAAAGTATTCCAGACTTGCTGTAATCAAACATTGCTTTATGGAAACATTTATTTGTAATAAACCGATTCTCTTAAAGATTAAAAATGTAAAGACTTGGTACCCATTCTAACACATGACATCTATTGTGTGCCACTGTCTGATTCTTGTTAATGAGAAATTATTTGAATTTTAAAAGGTGCTAGCTATATTTTTGCAGTTTTGAAAATAGGTCACAAGTCTACAGTCTACTTTAAAATTTCAGTTTACAAGAGTAATTATCAGATGCTCAGCACACATTATTTCACTAGCACCCTACATTGCTGTGCAGCATTTAGCATAGTCATGATTAAATTATTCATATTTGTTTATTTATTATCTGCTTTTCTAAACATTAAGGCAGGAGCTGTGTCTGACTTACTTTTTTTTTTCTATCTCCAACACTTCACCAAGTGCCTGAAAAATATAAGCTCTCAGTAAATTTTGGCGACTATGTGAATGACTATCAATCCTGCAGAATATCAAAAACTCAGAGATAGGCAAGAATGCAGCTTAGCATGAGTTGCAACTTTAAACGTTAATGAAAGCATGAATAGTGACTTCTGAAAAATATAAGCTCTCAGTAAATTTTGGCGACTCTGAATGACTATCAATCCTGCAGAATATCAAAAACTCAGAGATAGGCAAGAATGCAGCTTAGCATGAGTTGCAACTTTAAACGTTAATGAAAGCATGAATAGTGACTTCAAAACAAAACCCTAAATCTTGTGATTATCACAAGGGATTTAAGGTAATTGGATTGTATGTATAGCAGAAGAAAGGCGGCCTCTGATTTGAGAAAGACTGTCAAAATCAAATAGAAAATCAGCAGTTGAGAAGATAGGGAAAAGAAGGAAAGAACCACTGACAGAAGAAAAACAATTTGATTAGAATCAGCAAAGGACAGCTAAAAAAAAACAAAAAAAGTGTTATAGACATCAGTAACAATTAATAGAAATCTCATATTCAGAACAGTCTTATCTAAAAAGATTTTGGCTTAGGGTGATTCTCCATACATAAAAATAAGCAATGTATTGGCAGTTTCATGGTTTATTACTGAAAGTAGAAAGAAATGAAAATGGGAACTTGACATGATCATGAGAAAAAATAGGAAGTACCAATAGCAGAAGTGAATTTTATTTTAGGGCATACAACACTGAGACAAACACTGTTACATATTAAATCTGCATAGGTAAAGCACCATTTTACTTGCTGCAGAAGTTCTTGAAGCCATTCTCTATCTTATTGTACTATTTTTATATAATGTAGAAATTATGTTTAATATTTCTGAGCTCCTCATTTGTTCACTAAAATATATGTTGAGAGTGAGTCAGCAATATGCCACATACTATGTTAAAGATACAGAGAGGAAGAACACAGATTCATAAATAATTCATACAGGTAATTTATAGTTGTGTGGGATGAGCAAGTAAAAGGATAATTAGAATGCAGGGTGATAAGAATTATAGTAGAATTGTCCAGAGTGTGCTATAAGAGTGCAGAAAAGATGCATTTATCCCTGACCAGAAGATCAGGGATGTTTTCTTTGGAGGAAAGTACGTAGAAGCTGAGTCTCCAACAATGTTTTAGCCTGCTAAAAAAAGGAAAATGAAGGACAGTTATGCAAAGACATAGAGACATAGCAATTATCCAGAATAATTAAGCATAATAATTATCCAGAAGTACAAGTTGATCTGATTGGAGTATAAAGAGCAAGTGGGGAATGGTGGAGAGTTGAGATTGAAGCAGTAGGCTGGAACGTGATCATAAAAGGGAAATTATGTGTAGTATTTATCAAGGTAGGGAAATTTGATGCATTTTATATAACATTCTAATTAAAATGGTTAAAGTATTTCTTTAGTTAATGGCCCAAGTGTTGATAATTATCCAGAATGCTTCATTATCCTACAATTATGGGAAACTAAAGCAGTACTGTGCTTTCAAGTGACTGACACATATATTTACATTAAAATTAACTATTTTGACTAGTTTGCTTTAATTTCAGACATTGCTTTGCATAAATCCACCCCTGTTTGAAATCTATCAAGTCTTATTAAGTCCAACACAACATCATGTAGCACTTATAGGAATAAAAGGACTTATGGTATTAGAATTACCTAAAAGATGGGGGAAGAATTCTGAATTTGAAGGTGGAAAATCAACAGTGAATTGTAGGTAAGTTGTATTTCCATTTGATGTTTATGTGTATAATTTGTAATACAAGCAGAAAATTGTTGAAAACCAATAGTTCTTAAGGTGGGTTTACTGTGAGGACTCCAGATGGTCTGCATATTGGTTTCTTGTGATAGTAATGTTTATAGTATACATGTGATTATATTTTTATTCTGTCTGACTTATCACATTGTTCTCATTGGAATTCAGGCCATTTTTCAAGTAGGTAGAAATAAGATTTTTTAAAAGTGAGACACATTTTGCTCATAAGTTCAGCTGAGTTTTGTTTTTATATTACTTTCTTTTCCAACAAATCCAGAAAAGTGAGAGTCTGAAACATCTACTGAAAAGAATATAAGGTAGAAACCCACCACCTCCATAGCTCCATAATTTATAGATTTGGTCCCCTTACAATGGTTCCTTACTTTCAAAACAGGAATGATAATATCTGCCCTTGTTGTTTCCTTACCATGTTACTAAAAGAATCAAATAAGATACTATATCTAAAATCACTTGTAAAGGGCAGTATAAAATACTCTGCAATTTAGAAAATACTTTAATTTTGATTCTTTGATATCGAATGATCTGAATGCTCTGATGCTTTGAATGCTCTCACAGCAGGACTTAAGAGAAAGATACTTGAAGGAAAGAAGAGCAGAGAGTGTTAAAATAGATTTTCCTTTAGAAGGTTTTTCATCCAAGTTCTACAAAATGTTTTTGGAAAATTGTTGTCTTTATTTTAGTACCACTCCAATTGCTGAGAGATTTTTCACCAGTTCTACTTCTCTGACTCTAAAGCATGCTGCCTGGTATCCAAGTGAAATGCTAGATCCTCACATAGTGCTGTTAACATCAGACAACGTAATAAGGTAAATTTTATTTTTATGTCTTACAGCTTTGTGTCGGGGAGGTTCTGTTTCCTAGTTAATAGTTCAAGGTACCACTAAACGGGTCCTTGGATGTTGCAATGCTTTATCCGATGGCTGTTGTAACATATTCTCAATCATTTAAGAATGTCCTAACTTACATTCCTTAATTACAGCTATTCCCTCTCAACTAGTCTTCCTGACTCCAGTCTCTCCTTTCCTAATCTGACCTATAAATATTATTAAAATAATCTTTCTTTTCATTGTGTTTCTATTTTGGAGGTAATGTAGTATAGGGGAAAGAGACTGTAATTAGGAATTGAGAGATTTGAATTCTTATCCCAAGGCTCATGTTTTTGAGATCTTTTTTTTAAAATGAGCTCTGGCCAGTTTTATTTAAAAAATTTGCATGATTTACTTTTCACCAGTCAGTTCTGGCATGCTTCTAATGTTATCACAGTCACCTGGATCAATGATAGCCAGAGTGCATACTCTAGTATTTTCCACATGCTGTGCCCAGTTCAGTATTATTGCCACTGTAGTACTGGACATGTCTTGGCCAACATAGCATAGTACTCTATTTCAGATTTCCTTAAGGCTGGGCCATTGTTGGCAAGGATAACCAGTTTCTCTTTGCCTTGTCTGATCATTTTCAGAGTTTGCTTGTACCCCGGCACTACTTTCCACAATTTATAACTAGTTGAAGTCTAGAGTTGATCGACTCCAGCGACTTTTTCATCTTCTTCATAGCTATCATCTTTCTATCTTAGGTGCAAGATGGCCCTGAACCAAAAGTAGCTGCCCTGTCTTTGAGATCTTAAAC